GTGAATTACATTAGCTGAAATTATGCTTACATTTTGTTTTTATTGTTTTCAAATTCAATGATTCACCAGCAAACCTTGTAAAAGTAAAAAACGTGAAGTTTATTACCGTTCTGTGAAGCTCAAAAAATCTAGTCGGCCTCTAAAAAAAAACACAGTAAAAAATACATAAAAGTATATTTTTGAAATTAGTGGCATTTTCAGATTCAATGATTCAATAAAAATCATATTAAAATTGGTAGTTATAAATCTAATCTGCTCTTGATATGAAAACGTGGATAAAGCTAAGTCGCTCCAGATTCGACCCGCGAGGCGGACACCATGGCCCTGTACATGGGGGCCCAGATGAGGCCCATGGGCCATTCAGGGGAGGGAGACCCGATTCGAGAGAACATTATGGTCCCGACCAATCGAAGGAAGAAGCCAGGCATCAGCCGCAAAATAGGTAGCATCTATACATCAATTCCTTGACCTGTTTTTTCCTACCCATTTAATAATACAGTTTATTAAAAACTTCGTGAGAAAATCGAATTTTCGAGCTTCAAGAGTTTCAAAATCGGCCTGAGCATGCCCTTTTACACCCAGAACGTTGTAAATCCACCGTTTCTTTAAACCCAGATCATGAACCAATCTCGAACCAGCGATTGAAGTAATTAAACTTTGTGGAATCACCAGAAACGATGAAACATCACTCTATGACGACCATAAAATTAGTTTATGAGATCGCTCAAGGTGATAGATTCAGAATATACTTGGGTTTTTTGAAAGACGTTTTTGTAAAGCTTCCTGAATCTCCTAAAGAGAAATTATGGGCAGACTAGCCGGGCTGGCGCTGCGCATCACGGCATTTTCAAATCTTTTGTTCCTTAGTTTTAATAATAAAGTAATTTTTCAGGCCTCACAACCGCGGCAGTCACGAGGAGCCTAGCGGAAAATCGAGGAAATTAGAATCCGAGGAAGAAGAGGATTCAGGCAGTCGATCGGCTGAGAAAACGGAGGAGAAGGAAGAAAAAGACGAAAAATCGAAGAAATCTGGGAGTCGGGAAGGGTCAGAGGAGGAGGAGAAGCCGAAGAAAGGGCTAAAGGAGACGTCTGCGGAAATACCGGAAAAGAATCGCCCTCGAAAGATCAGCGCCAGCACCGAGAATAAGGTGAGCAGGACAGGCTTGCAGAGATTATTGGGGAAATATAATTCTATGCACAAAATACAAATAAAATATAAAGCATAAAACCAGGCAGGCTAGCAGAGATTATTGGGGAAAACATCGAAGGAGATTGGGTAACGAACGGCAAAAGATTAGTTCTGCTAATGTAAGCGCATCAATCAAATTCGTTGAAACATTTTTTGCAAACGGCGATTTTTTTCCCCTAAAGATTCAAGGCTAGCTTTCTGGGAGATAACGCAGGATTTCTGAGCTTATTTTTTCGTTGGAAAAATTAAAAGGTGGTGTCCAAAAGAATCGCCTCTAGGATTATTTTTCAGCAAATTAATCAAACGAATCAATACCGTGTTTAAAATAAAATTGTTTTTTATTCTATGTTTCAAAATTTTATTGGGATAGGGAAGAACCAGGTTTTGTTAATCAGTCCGTTGTCGCATGCAAAAATGATCCGGATAAGCCCCGTGAAGATCAGGCAAGCTAGCAGGGATCGGTTAGGAATCGGGCATATTGTAGGGAAATCAGGGCTTTTGCCAGGGCAAGCGAGCAGAGATTCCTAGGGAGGGTAGCACCATGACTTTACCAAAAATTTGGCGGGAAATGTTTCAACTTTGTCAAAGTCCAAAACAATCTGTCTTTTTGGAATTATGGTCCCCTAATAACCCCAAAAATTGGCTTTAATCTGGCTCGCAGGAATTCACCAAAAACTTAAAAGAAAAGAATGTTTCAAGTTTCGCAAAATTCAAAAAATTTCCTTTCCTCGGAATTGATGATCGAAAATGCTTTGTAAAATCACATTAATTTAGGCCCCGGAAAACCCCTCAAATGCGACAACTCTACATCCTACAAACTACAAAGGGAAAAGCCCGGCCGCCAAAACCTACAGTACCTCCCGTGAAAATGAGGGGAGGGCTGGGGAAAAGGAGAGCTCAGCCGAGCGCAGCAGGGAGCACGAGAAGAGTGAGGAGACGCAGAGAAGCAGAGAGAAATCAGGGGAGCAAGAGGAGGAGCAAAAAGAAGATGAGGAGGAGGAGGAGGAGGAAGAGGAGAAGCCGGAGCCAAAATCGGAGCCCCAGCCACCGCAACCCCCGCAGTTCCCCTTCCAGTTTCCCGGGTTTCCAGGTGGGATTACGGTATTATTGGAATTAACTAATTTTAATGTATTTGAGGAATAATTATATTCGCTATTAAACCATAAATTACAGTATTTTCAGGCACAGTAGAAATTAAGAAAAGTACGAAAAATACGTTATATTTTACGCCATAAACGCCGTCATGGTATTAAATGTTTTACCGGATAGGGAATTTATATCGAGGATGAAACATATAGTCACTATTCAGCAAAATCAGGTTGCTCATTCATGCTCTAGAAAGGTATAGATTTAATAACAAACAACGTGTAAGATTCACAAAAATAACTTTCAACGCTTCAAAAAAATATTTCACGCATTCGTCAGGGTGCCAGGGTGATAATTGCTATAATATCTCGCTTTCTATCAGTTCAAAGCACCCCAAAAATTTTTACTAGGATGTTTTTGAGTGTTTTTAGTTATGGCGCAACGATTAACTAAATTATAGAATACAGTATGTTAAAGTAATTTAGAAGTTAAAGCGCGTAAATTTTCCGAGCGTATTTTAGATGGATTCTTTGTTTAAAATAATTAACAAGCTTACGGTAACAATGCTTACGCCAAATAATTGGCGTGTATCAACATGGGCCAAGCCTCGATTTAATATCACATGTCATAAAGTAAACACTTACTTCGCAGTAGTATATAAAAAAATCTCCGACTGCTTACAATTACTTGAAACATTTCAATTTTACCCAACCTGCTTTGGTTCTAATCAAAAAATAATTCTTTTTTTCAGGATTTCCTGGTTTCCCACCGCCATTTCCGCCTGGATTCGCACAACCTGGAGAAGCAGCGCCCAGAAAAGAGAAGAAAATAAAGAAGAAACAAAGGAGTGAAGAGGAGGATGAAGAAGACATGAAGAAGCCAAATGGGAAATCAGAAGAACGGTCAAGGGAATCAAGCCGTGAAACATCGAATCCGAAGGGGGAGCAGGGGAGGAAGAGGTCAGCGCGAGAGAGAGATCGAGAGAGAGAGAGAGAGAGAGCGAGAGAGAAAGCGAGACAGAGAGAGAGAGAGAGAGAGCGGGACAGAGAGAGACAGTGAGTCAGAGAGATTGAGTAAGAGAGTGAGAGTGGGAGAGCGTGAGAGAGAGTGAGAGAGAGACCGAGAAAAAGCGAGAAGTGTGGCTCTTCAAAAACTCTGTAATTCCTTTCTCTTCAATTACGGCCATATTTGAATCCTACTATATATAAAAAAATTGTGTCTGTGTGTGTATATTTGCATGCAACTTCCACAAGTATGTGCCGCACCTACAGCCTCAAGGGAAGGTTTTTAAGGTACGTATAATACGTCATTATGCGTGTAATAACCCCGAGATGACTGCACACTAATCAGATTTTACAAAATCAGCTATTTTCGACATTAAATTAAAGTTTTTGTAAAAATTTCCGGCACCCTCTTTGTTAGGAATCAATTAGCATGCGCCGGAAGTGGGGTAAAGCCTCTATAAAGGGACCGAGGAAGCGCTTTTCATTTTTTCTGATAGGAATCCGGGAAAATCATGCAAAGTCGAGCTTTGTCGGGTTTGGACGCGGCCAGGGTTGAAAAGCCGCTTCGCGTCTTGTCTTGTCGTCTTGAAAAGACGCGAAGCGGCTTTTCAACCCGGGCCCCGTCTGACCCCATTTTATCCTTCACTTTGCATAATTGTCATAAATTCAGATGGCAAAAAAAATGAAAAAGAGCCTCTCCTGCCTCTTATGTAGTCCAATCCCCACTTCCGGTCAATGCTATTTATGCCCAACAGAGAAGTTTTCACAAAAACTTAAATTTAATGTCGAAAATAGGTAATTTTGTTAAATCTCGTATGGGTGCAGTCATCTCCAGGCCATTACGCACCTAATGAAGTATCATACATACCTTAAAATTCCTCCCCTATCGAGATATCCTCCGGACAGACAGGTGGAAGTGGATGCAAAGTGACACAGACACACAAACACACAAACACTATTTTTATATATAGTAGGATAATTGTTGGAAACGTTTGTTTTCGACGCAATTTTGCGAGACATTAACCCCTAGTAACGTTCACGATATACTTTTTTATTTAGAACATCATCCTCTCTTTTTTCCTCATTAAAAACGGATTTTCACCATTCTGTAGGCTAGAAAATTCGGGAAATTTTAGGAATATAGCTGTGTTTTTACGCGTAAAATGTGCCAGAAATAAGAGATTCTTAATAGCAGAAACTAGATAAAAATTTGGATGGATGTTGCACAAGAAAGTGTGCAAAGATTCGCACTTTTCCCGCGATGTTCCCGCGATGTATCTTAAGTTGAAACATTATGGAATTCGGGGCACATTAATTGTTTGTGAGGTTTTAAATTTTTTACGTTCACGAGATTCGATTTTTGAATTATTGCATTATAGAGGGTGTTAAATTTAGGGTAACCATGACACTTTCATTCCAAAAACGAATCATTTTTAAGAATTGAAACGCATCTGCTATTGTCGGTTATTAGCTTTCCTCCACCTGTTTTAGTCTTGAAACATCAAGATTCAAGCGATGAAATTTTTTGCATTCTCGAAAAATCTACTATATATAAATTTCTATGTCCGTGCGCCCGTCCGACCGGGAATTCAGCCAAATTCTGCATTCAAACTCAAAATTCAAATTGTGTGGGGAAGGGAGGCCAGCGCTGAACCCCCGCGTAGCGGGGGGTCAGCGCTGGTTAATATATAAATCTATATTTGTTATGAGACGTATTTTAGCTCCCCAGAAGAAGAAGAAGAAGCCGATGGTGACGACAATTTTCGGGCCAAGAAACGGGCGGAGACCGGGAAAAACTCGGCCGAGAAAAACGAAGTCACGGCCCCGACGGGACCCCAAAAAGATGCCCCACCAACCGTAGGCAGGAGGCTGATGCCAACCCCTCCCAATCTGGTCCCGCCACGAGTTCTGGCCAGACTGGGGGCTACCGTACCCGGCAGTGGGCGTGGCTTCGCGGCGAGACCTCGAAATGGGGGCCAACGGCTGGTGAAAGATGTCGATGAGCCGAGCCGCCCGGTGAGAATCCAGGCTCATCAACAGGTTCGGAGCTTTTTTTAGGTTTTGTAGCTTGTATCTGTAGTTTGTAGCTTGTAGCTGGGGGTTTTCTACGTGTCATTTGTAGTGAAACGTACTTTGAATATTTGGAAGGTTATGGTTATTTTATAGCAAAAAATAGCTTGAATAAATAGACAAATAATAAAATACAATTTTTACCTAAAAAAAGCCTCAAAAATGATAAAAGCTTATTCAAATTGCTTGTAGTCTCTTGATTTTACCATTTAAAAAGTAAACAACGAAAAATGACCCAAAGTTTTGATAGGTTCAGACAAAAAATAAGGTAAAATCGCATTTTCCGCGGTTTTTAAACTTTCAAACCTGATAAGCATTAGCAATGCTAGTAAAATTACGGCAGTTGATTCATATTTATTTTCCATAAGATTTTCATTTTACACATTAAGGCATTTCTTTTTAGCGTACCTTAAGAGAAAGGGTTTCAAAAATGTTCGTGACAAAAATGTTTTAACAAAACGGTAATGGGCACATGGGACAATCGCAGTAATTACCGTTCAGATAGTTAATTTTTAAATTAGCTTAAGAATTTACGTTTTTTAATTAATTATATATTTTATTTGTATTTATTTAATTAATTATACGTATATTAAAGTAAAATTCTAAGTTTCTTCCAGGTGTTTGAATTTTATTTTTAGGCTTGCGTAGGAATTTCTTGGGCACTTTGACGTGGATTTACCTAATGCATGATGAAATACAATTTTTTTAGCTAACTGGCGGCGCGTGGAATTTGCCGTTGGAACCGATTACGCCAGGAAATGGAACGCAGCAGCGGCCGCTGCTGCCCCGCCCTCCGCATATACCAATTCGTTAATGTCCTCTAGCTTTCCATTTTTAACGAATAAATTATTGATACAAGAAAACGTTAGGCCACAATTAAGAACAAAAATCTGCGTAGTGAACAGCTTTTTATAAAGCATGTTTTTTTTAAATTCAGAGCCTTAAAATTTCTTTAAAACACCATAGTTCTAAAAAACATTGCGAGCTCGGAATTATGACAAAATAATGTTTAAGTGGAACATTAATTTCTCGATAAAATTACACTTTTTCGATTTGTTTAAAACGGCTATTAACAAGCCGAAGGCTATATTACTAGGTATTTATCAACATTTAGAAAATTTAGCTTTCCCCCCGATAATGCAAATGAACTTGCGAAAATTTTCTTGTCTCTTGTCCTTTTTCAAAAAAATGTTTCGTAAAACTTACTGGCTGAGGTGAATAGCTTGAATTTAATTCAGAACAAATGGCCGAGAATCGCTGTCAATCCGGAAACCGCTATCATTATCTAGATATTTTCCGTCTCACTTTGGCAACGGTCCTTACTGGGATTTTTTAGTTGATTTACCAAGTTCAAGCCAGAAAAAGAGTAAGATAAAAGAATAGGATCCGTGAAAAGTATTTTTTGCCAGACGGCGTTTAAGTGAATCACCGTATTTGCGAATAAATGTGTTTTGATGCTGATTTACCTTAAAAAAGCCCGGATGTTAAAAAGGCTAGATATACCAGTTTTCTATCGTAAATCGCAAAATAATCGCAGGGTTCGTAAACCGCAATTCAACCAACAAAATGTTTCATACTTTTTACAGTACTGGGCTATTTCTGGGGAGACAATTTGTCATATGCATGGCCAAGCGGTAATGAAATATGCATAAAAAAGCGTCAAAAATGCATAGAATTTTCTAATTTTTTGAACGTTGAAAACGTGTTTTCTAACTCTTTAGAAATGATAAACTACGAAAAACTATAAAAAATACAAAAATTCTTCCCCCCTCCCGCCAACCATTAACAGCCTAAGCCTAAGGCCAAGCCAAGCCGAAGCCAAGCCTAAGCCAAGCCTAAGCCAAGCCTAAGCCAAGCCTAAGCCAAGCCTAAGCCAAGCCTAAGCCAAGCCTAAGCCAAGCCTAAGCCTAGCCTAAGCCTGAGCTAAGCCTAAGCCAAGCCTAAGCCAAGCCTATGCCTTAGCCTAAGCCTAAGCTAAGCCTAAGCCTGAGAATTTTACCCCCAAACGCCAAAAGACGCCCATTACTGTATGCTAATCTGCATCTGCATAATAGTAAGGAGGTATCAACAAACCAGTCCCCCTGCGTATTCAAGCGCTAAGAGTGGGCGCGCGTAAAAAGTAGTAGCCCGGAGCCGGAAAGTGTCACTTTTTACTACAAACGACTACGCGACAATATAAAGGACAGCCAGCCCCCCACTTTCCCCCCATCCATATTACAGTACTATTAGAATGTTGCTGAATTTCGTGGTATTACTTGGACTATGCTTTGTCCCATCACGACAGGAAGAGTACGGTAAGAGGATGATGGTAGAAAAATATTTGGAGCTTGTGTGTTAGCGGGGGGATAATTTACTAAAAAAAAACATATCCACCAAACTATTGGAACTATTAACAAACTATAGCATTTTTTATAGTGATTTTCGTACCTTTTTTGCTGCCACTTTATGAGTGTATGTTTCAATGAAAAATTGGAAAAATGGAGACGGGTCTAATACAATAGGCACACGGCTTGTACTCCGTTACAGTCGATTTTCAGAAACCTCTACCACGGGCTCGTACTCCGAGCACCACGTCTACGGCCATCATATGGAATATTCGGTGCAGATGGGACCACAGACCGACGGGAAAGCGAGGGTCAGGATGGAATACGGTAGGTCGTGTTCCTCAAGGATCTCTACTAGCCTACCCTTTCCTCTTCCTCAACAATCTCAGCTAGTCTGCCCCTCCTTTTCCTCAATAATCTCTGCTAGTCTGCCAGCGCCTCTTGATTGTTCAGAAAGTAATTTACAAAATTTCAAGATTTGTTTTCAGGGTGAAAAAGACCATTCATTGTGCAAGAACAGAACATTTGATGTTTGATTAGCTTTGAGACAAGTAATCTAAAGTTTCGGAAAATATTAGGCATCCTTAAACCTAGAACCGTATAAAAGAGGAATCCAGCGGAGACCATTTTGGAATTTAGTAAAATCGCGTTGATTCGGAAACATATTTTTTTCCACGAAATATTCGTAAGGAACATGAATATCTACGCATTGCAGCTTATGAAATTTTTTACTGATGCCTAGATTTCGAAACATGTTTTTATTCGACTCCCGATCAAGCTTTTATTACCTCTAATCCCCAGCAAAAACCATTACAAATCCTCGAAACATATTTTCTTCACCACGCTGTTTTTTCAGGCCAACTCGGCCGCCCGACCGTATTCACCCAAATGGACGTGCCGGCCGATTTTTCGGTATCTAACAAAATGTAAAATTAATTTTAATGAATTTTAGGCTGACTATGGGATGAATCCGGAAAAGCACGACGGCCTAAAATACGCAGGATTTGACCAACCACCCCGGAAGCTACAGTTTTCCGCGCCAACGGTAAAGAATTTTACATTCAAAGTTTTAAAAGTTTATGGCTTTTCAACTACACAAAGTAAAATATTCAAAAAAATTAAAGTAAAATATTAGCCAATAAACTTAACGGATTTGACGTGTTTGGAAAAATAGATTCAGAATTCTCAATAATTATATCTAATCAAAATTCGATTAAAATTAAAATAAAAATCATATAGATTTAAACGTTCTTATAGATTTCCTCAATTCTTATTAATAAAAATATATTCAGATTGTATTAAAATTCAGGGCAATCAATAGTTTGCAAAAAATTTTATGTGTGTTTCAAAAATGATTACTGAACAGGTTCGATGCCGCAGTGGATTTTTATTTCCGGATAAACTTTAGAATACACCTGAAGCATGCTTTTTTAGTACAGCGGTTGGTTGCCGTTTGGATCGAGTTTTGGCCACTCCCTCGGCCACACCAAAAAACGAGAGAGCAGGCGGAAGCGAGAGAGGGCAGAGAAGGAGGGTGATCCTGAAGAGCAAGCGAGGAAGCACACTAGCCGAGAGGTGAGAGGAGCTTTTCTAACTTCCGGATTTTTCATCTACTTAAGATCAAGAATTAGTGCTAAAATATGTTCGGTATTTTGAGAAAGGCTTGAATCACCTTTTTTTTGGAATTTTTACTCGCTTGGCAGGCTTCTTTAGACTTTATAGCTTACGAAAAATATATCTATAAATATATTTTATCTGTTAACCGTGGAACCTCCTTGTTTTGTGATCTCTCTCTCTCTCTCTCTCTCTCTGACGTTCTCTCTCTCGCTTTCTCTCACCCTACCTCTCTTTCTCTCTCTCTCTCTCTCTCTCTCTCTCTCTCTCTCTCTCGCTGTCTCTCCGTTTCAGTTACTCGATTAAAGAACCCATGAAGCCAAAAACGGAATTCGCAAAGAATGCCTGCTAGCTCGCCCGTCAAGCGGAAGAAATCTATTTTTAGGATGATGGAAGCGATGAATCGACCAATAATCTGGAGAACGACTTGAAAGAAAAGGTTTGCAAAAAATATGTTTCGACGATAAATAAAGTTGGGAATTTTTGAGAGATCAGTATTGTTTTCAAATGCAGGAATTTGAAAATTAAGCCAACATTTAACATAGAGAAATCCATAGCAATAGAAATAATTTTATTTTGTAAATTACAGTACCCCCATTTCTCGACGGAGATGGACGAGCTGATGCGGGAGGAATCTGAGCATCTACTGCATCGACTCTTCCAGAAATTCCCCATATTTGACGACGCGTTTTTCGAGGCCAACGTTGGGGGCCCGAATTTTGACCAAAAATACGGCCTTGGGAAGGGGCATTAGGTTCAATTTTTTTATTTTTTTAAAAACCGCAAAGACCCGTTTTTTGATTTTTTAAAGGACCGTTAAGAGACAAAATTGGTGAACTTTAAACGCATATGGAATGCAAAAATTTAGCGATGCGCAACACCTGCAGAATTATTCAAACAACTTTTAATGGTGGTCGGATCAATTTACGAAACATTAATTTCATAAAAAATCGGCAAAAATCAAGAGGTTTCTCTTAAATTACCGTATTCCCCGGAACTTTGAAATGTCATTTTTATTATGAATTTAACATGAATATTAATGTGTTACAAAATTGTATTTATCTGAATAAAGATTTTCTACATCGATTTCATCGAGGCATCTGGTTGGGTTTTAAAGGGCCAATGAAATAAGGGATTTCGTAAATTCGCCAAATGAATTGACTCTATGAGCTCCCGAATACCCGCCGGAATCGAATAATTTCATGAAACATCAAATCGATTCAAGAAATATGGGTTAAGAGCCCCGGATTCCTAAAAAATTGTGTTTCACGATCTCAGAAAATCTAACATTAAAAAATCTAAAACATTTAAAAAATAACAAAAAAATTTAAATCTGCGCGTAATTACCGCTGATAGAAAAATTCGTTATTAGGCGTATTTATTGGAACCAAGGTGATCTACCCAGATTCCAGAGGTTATTTTAAAGAAAGTTTGAAGCTCAAAAATTCTGGGCGTCATTAAATCCCAGAATTCTCCCCGGAATATAAACGGAATAAATCGGTAAACATCGATTGAAGTTATATTTTGTATAAATCCAAACGATGTATTTATGTATGTATGGAGGAACGAAGCGAAACCAAAATTTTATTTTAATTAGCCCGAAAGGCGTTGATTCGAACAGTTATTGAAAGCGTCAGTTAATTAAAAATCGAGAATTTAAATTTTTATGTTTTACATCTGAAACATAAAAATGTCCGGTTTTGGTTTTTAATTCTGAACCAGAATTTTGTCTTCCTCGCCTTCCCCGGGATGGCGGTCAGTGTTTTATTTTGCTTATTCTAATTTCTGTATGCAAATTAAGGCATGTAAATTAGGCAAGGCTTTATACCCGAGGAACTTTAATAATAACTTGTAAAACTACGATAAAATTTCAGAACAGCCCCGACGTGTCGGGCAAGAGCCAGAAGAAAAAAAAGCCGCGCACCAAACGAGGGGTGGTGGGTTTGGGGCTATTTTAAAGGGCTCGGCAAGGCATAATTGATTGGCTATGCATTTACTATCGTAATCGATTACGCAATGGAAGTGGAATTTAAGGCGTGCTTTCCATCGAGTTTCGAAATTCGGGTTCCTGAACTATTTTAATGACCTTAAAATTTATAAACATGTTTTATTTACAAAAATTTATTTTTTACATAAATATTTATCTAAAATGATAAAATTTTAAATCCGCTAGCGTTATAGAATTGCCTTGCCCGCGCTTTAAAACAATTTTAAAGGGAGTGTGACATCAGAGTTTTCTAGATTTTTGGTAAGACTCCAGATAACCCCCCCCCCCAGCCGGCACCCAACTTTTGTATCTCGGCTCGCTGTTCATCTACAGGTGTGTAAAGTATACCAAAATGTTCGTCTTGCTGTGGCGAGTATTTTGGTATACTTTACACACCTGTAGATGAACAGGGAGCCGAGATACGGTAGGTGGGGGTCGGCTGGGGGGGGGGGATCTGGAGTTTAGCCAGATTTTTAGCTAGGGATTAATTTTTTTGTTGCAGCAAAGTCCAGACGTCGAAGGGCTGTCCCGTTCGCCAGTGGTGGGTATTTTTATTTTTGGCTTCATTTTGGTACCGTACTGTTAGCAGGGGGGAACGAATTTTTGGCTGACCTTCTAGCCGACCCGTTAATGATTAAGCATGTATTTTTAGAATGTTTTTGTAGTTTTTGATTACCGGAGCGCAGCAAAAATGTTTTGAGAATTTTGAAAATTCGAAAATTTCTATGTTTATTGGAATACTTCATATATTTTTAAGCACAAAAAGGTATATTTTAGAAATTTTTTTGAAGAATTTTTGTCTAACCATTGTGCAAAAGCCTATAAAATGGTTTATATGTTTAATAGGACCGTACAGGATTAATGAGAAGAATTAGTCCCCCCCCCTACTAGACCCCCCCCCCTGCTAACAGTCCAGTACCGATTTATTTACAACAGCATTGAAAGAAACGTGCTATTAGAAAAAATTTGTGTTTCGAAAAATCTTGTTAAAACATGCTCCGGACTCTCCGTAATAGCTAAGTGGTGGTCAGAGTTCAAAAAACAAGCAAACTTTCGAAAAATTATGAAACCCATTTTCCCAAAAAAACCGCTATTTTCAATTCCAGGGAAAACCGCCGAGCCGGAAGCCGTCGAAGGTGTCGGCAGAGTGCAAGGTTCCCTTTTTTGATGCTTTCGCATTATCAGGGGGGAACCAATTTTTTTCTTTACTATATACTTTTCTGGATTTTGCTCACGGATTTTTCTAAATTGTATGTTTTCATCTTCTAACCTTAAAAAATGGTTTAATATCGATTTAATCATCAACAGTCAAATTTCGATTAAAAAAGAACAGAAGTATCGATTTTTTTTTCACCAAAATTGTTGGATTTTGAAATATAAAAATACTTTTACGACGTTTTTCCGCTCGAAATATGGCTAAATTTCATCAAAAACACCATTAAAACTCTTACAATTGCGTTATTGGGGATTTCTATGCTTTAAAAAAAGCCCCCCCCCCATAATATAAGCACCGAAAAATATTTGCGTTACTCCGGTTTTAGCATTTATATCGAGTTTTTCAGACCCAAGCCGCCTCCCCCGACGACCAGGGTTTGGTGAATTTTTATCAATTTTCTTAAAAAAATGAAATTAAAGCTCGTTGTATATAATGCATTTTGAAACACTCGTTTTTCAGCCCCTCCCCAGCCGCGAGTGCAAAACGACGCTGATACCGGATATTGAAGTCAGCCGCGAGGCCGTGCAAACTGTTGGTATTTAGTTTAATTTATTAATTAAGTTATAAGACATTTTTAAATGTTAATAATAATAAAAAATAAATGGTCAGCATGAAATCTAAATGCAGACAAAAAAAATTTAAATAATAAAAAATCTTTGATGTGTATTTGTGAGAGTGAGGTGACGGCAAAATTAGCGTTGAAAATTTGGCCTTTTTGTATGATACATGAAACATTTTGTTGTGGCAAAATTAGCGGTTGGTACTGGACCGCTAGCGGGAGTAGGGGGCTAGTTGTCATTTTTCCGTCTTCCGACTCCGACTTGCTCATTTTATAGTGCTTCCACTCATTTTTTAGTGCTAGCAAGTTAAAAAACTATCTAAAAAAGCTGCAAATTTAATATTTTGCGACTTTTTCGTCATTTACATACATTTTGAGGGGCTTTTTGTATCTTAAAAATGCTTAAAATGCTATTTTAATGTCGTATTTCGTCATGGAGCCGTGTTTCTAAAGGGTTGGAGATTCGAAAATATCAGGCAAACTACCAGCTATATTGCCTTTCAAACTTTTTTTGGGATCTAACTCGATTGTAGAAACATTGTTTTGCAAATCTTGAACTGAAACTTCGAGAATGTTGTTAAAATTGAAGAGTACTTACAGAAATCAAATCAATTCATTAAAATATCAAATAAAGTACCTATCCTTTACAGAGAATCAAAAAGTCGGTGGCCAGCTCCGAGAAGAAGGCGGTGCGTTTCGTTTTATGAAAGTAAAAACATCCTTTTTTTTCCAGCGCAGCAAAGAGAGCCAGGCTAAGTCGCAGGTATAGTAGAGATAATGTTAATTTCATTAAATTCCTAAAAATTTTATAAATTATTGGAAAGCCTGAAACTTATTTTTTCACCTCACTTATAACAGCCGGGATAATTCCGACTTATTCCGCTTGCACTTTCTGATAGCAATAATCATGGATTTCAGAGTGGCACTCAATTTCTTTAATTAGCTGTTAGTCAAGATTAATTTAAATTAAGTTTTTGGCTGAAGTGCAGTTTACCCCCTCATGGCCGACCTCCACCTACCGTATCTCGGCTCGCTGTTCATCTACATGTTTGTAAAGTATACCAAAATACTCGCCAAAACAAGTCGAACATTCTGGTATACCTTACACACCTGTAGATGAACAGGGAGCGGAGATACGGTAGGTGGGGGTCGGCTGGGGGGGGGGGTAAACTGCTCTCGAACCCTGTCGACTAATATAGCCCCACATCAGATACGATTTTTAATGTTCCTTGAAACACTTTTTTCTAGCGCTCCGGCCGTACGAAGAAGGGGGGCAGCGGCAAGATCAAGGTATCGTTTCTGCCCTTTTTCCCTTTTCCCGGAGCACTATGCGGATTTCTTTTACCATTTTTCCTCGCAGACTCAACCCCATAAATTTTTGCTTGTGTCAGTTAGAAAAGCGAAAAAACTGATTGCTATTTTATTTTAAGGTTCTTCGAAGCTACAGTACCCGAAAATTCGATATTTTTTTTGCAGCGCAGCACCTCGACGGCCTCGGAGAAAAAGTCGAAAAAGACAAAATCGCAGGGTGCCGTCGACTCGGGCCGCTCGGCCGCGGTGAGCACGAGATAATTGATGGAATGGGTTCTTTGGCATTATTGGGGGGGGGGGGGTCGGAAGACAATTTCACGATTTAGCTCTCTATCAAAAGCTTTTTAACCGGGATAATCGATGTACTACTTCTTCCATGCATTTTAATTTAAGGGAAATCAGTGAAACACATCTAATTAAATGTGCTTTTTGCAGGAACGTGGGCACAAAGATGCGAAAATGTCCAAGTGCCCGGTGGGCGACTCGGGAAATTCAGGAAAGGTGGGGAAAGGCTCTGAAAAGAACACGTAATTTTTAATAGATACAAAAATTTATCGCTTTTACCCGAATTTAGAAACTCATTAGAAGGCAGCGGGTTACGGAAGGCTATTAGCTAAGCGCAAAAATTCTGTTAATTATACGGCTTTGAAACATAGTTTTTCGAAATGTAAAATTTTTTTGCTTTGGAAAAGGTGTTTCATGCTCGCTACAATACCGTTTTCTTTTTCACAGATCAATTTAGGGCCGATATTCCTCGATTTTCCAGGAAAAGAAGAAGAAAAAGTCTGGCGGCGCAGGCGGCGGAGAGCCGATTGATCAGGTCGGTTTAATTGTAATTTTTTTTATGTTTTTCTGCTTTTTCTATACATTTAATTAATTGCGTTTTTAGGACAACGACACGCAGGACTCGCTGATTAGCCCGATCAGCGTATGGGGAGGTCCAAAATTTTTAATAATATGGCCCCTTTTCTAGCCCTCGAAAGACCCGGGCGTCTCCGGTGGACGGATCAAGAAAACGATGGCCATGACGGTTTTTGAAAAAGTGGGGGTTTTTACAAAGCATTAATAAAGTACAAAAAATCAATAAAAAACTTCAAAAATCAGTTTAACTAATTTTTCAAAAAATCTGTTTCTAGTTTTTTTATAATTCCCCAAGAGGTGCAGTGTCGCAATAATAGCTGGGACAATCTTTCTCAATGGGTTTTTACTATTCCTAAACGTGAAGGCTTTACAAATTTTTATGAAAAAATAAAAAATATCGATTTTTCGACCCAAAAGAGCCGATTTTTAATCAAAATTAATTTTTTCTTAGTTTTTAGTAGCGACCGCGACGCTAGATATTGGATTTTGAGAAGGATCTAAATTAAAGCCATGGTTATCGTGAACTTCCTTAAATTCAGGTGGACGCGCCGATGAGCCCGGCTGTGACCCACGTCGAGGTACACATGATGAAGTGGAAGGACGAGGGCGAAGAAGGAATGGCGCATTATTTTTTTCGGTATAACATTTCACTTTGGATCTTTTGAAAGCGCGCTTCAATGGCCCTGCAGGGGTCGATAAGTCCAGACCATGGATTTTGTCAGTTTATGAAAAATGTGTTTTATCGCTTGGCAAATTCAGCAATTTTTCCCACCCCCAACTATGAAACGTTCATCTTGATCACGAAAAACGTTTAAAAAAAAAATTTTTTCAAACCAGGCTGGATTGTAAATGTTTACTTCAGCAGCCAAAATCAGGATTTGGAAATGCGTGTTTCATCTTTTTGTAAATTAGGCATTTTTTCGCAATTCCTAATAACTCCTCGATGTATTCGATTTCTAGCCACCTTCAACTTCACAACGCTTGGCTGTTATCTTCTTCAACGTCTTCCGTTTTCCCTGGGTCCTTATTGGTCTGTAAAATGGTGAGTTTCTCTCTGAAACTATTCAAAGTTGTGATAGAGGCTTATTAAAATAGAGCAAATTTGCCATTTTCTAGGTTTTAACTCGGTTTTTATCGTTTCTTTATAACAATTTTTTGTTCAAAAAAATTAAAAATCTGAATTTTTTAGACTATAAGTTTTTATCAGTGAATTTAATTCGCTAAAATTAAAAAATTACAATTACCGTATTTTTAACTTTTTAACATTTTTTTTGCCTTTTAAAGCCATCCTTTTCCAGGGCTCTTCTCTTTCTCTCGGCTTCTTCTCTTCTCCCCCTTCAACTTCAACAACGCTAAATGGCGAAAAGCACGAAAAACTACCGTATCCCCTCACTTAGATGAAATGCTTCCCACAAATATTCGACGTTAATCGCTTATACGTTTTTGTTTTTGATTGTTTTGGGCCAATGGTGTGTTAAATCAGCAAATGACCTTCAACTGCCAGAAACAAATTCTGGTTTTCTTGGAATTTCAGTGGAAACATTTTTTGCTAGCTCCCAGCCTCATCCTTTCCATCTAATAACGATTCTCAAATTTGGTGCGGGACTTGATTTTGGCGAAACATTTTTTCGTATTGTTGGTGAAACTTTTCATAAGCCCAGAAATGCTAGTAACATAATCGCAAGGGTTTTAGTAAAATTTAATGATTTTCCGAGTCAAAAACTGCATAAAAAACTTCAAATTGTCGAAAATCGCCATTTTTTAACAAACCGATGATGCCCCCACCCGATAAAGCGAAAGCACCATTGAAAGTGAACGAACTGTTTTTCATTATGAAACTATTTGTTATATTTGTAGGAAGTTTAATCGAGCCCTGACAAGGGAAGTGCACGACCGGCCCACGAGAAATCGACACGAGACATAGTGGATCTGATAGAATCGGACACGGGGATTCCAAATCTGTAATCAAAATTTGCTAAATAAAACGGACAAAAAAGCTATGAAGCTTCAAAGTTGGTAAAATCGCCCAAAATCTGACTCTTTATGGGCCTGTAAAGGCCTAGGAAAAGGAAATTTGCCACAACCCATTAGAGCCATCTTGTTCAGCAGAAAAAGCGCTTTCGAATGAGCTATCTTACTACAAGTTTACGATGATTTCGCGGAAATCACTTGTATGAACTTGACAGGCCATACCCTTGCCCGTGAATCCAAAAACCTTTTTCAGTGAATTGTTTACAAATGCTACGTATTACAGCTCATCCGAAAGCGCTTTTTCTGCTGAACAAGCTCCACCAATTCTTTTCTCCTCAATTCCGTTCTCCCGACTTTTACGGGCCCTTAAATGTACCGTTTTTGGCGATCGGGCCAACCTCTTGATGCTTCATAACTTTTTCTCCGTTTTATTTAGCAAATTCTGATTACAGATTCGGAATCCCTTCGTGTCCGATTCTATCAGATCCACTATAGACCCGTGTCGATTTCTCGTGGGCCGGTCGTGCACTTCCCTAGAGAGAAATTGAGAATCAAGGAGCAACGGCATATTATCGTTCCAAAAACCATTTATTTTTCGGATTTTTTGAAACATTTTTTTGGGTTGGGAGAAACAGCAAATTGAATATTTACGGAATCGACTGCTTCGATGGCGCCCTGTTTTTTTCATATATCCAGCAATATAGGGCCAAAAGGGTCCCAGCACCAGCAAGCAATTGTCCCTCCGGAACCAATTTTTTTTTTATTTGATTGGGGAAAAACATTTCCTTGCTACGATGCAATCAATAGAATCACCCGATCGAATCTCATTTTAGTTGGGAATCTTATTAAAATGATCTGTTTCAAAAAATTAGCTTTCATTTGACGCTTATGACTCATGACCTTACTTAAAAAAGTTAGAGTTGATTTCAAAACTAAAAAATCAAAAATATATTTGTGGGTCCCGAATTTCCGCTGAAAATGTTTTTCTGATTTGCATAATTTTCTCGAAACAAAATATGCTAATTTATACTGATGATTTTTTTGGATTCTCGATTTCTGCAAAAGTTTAGCTTTCTTCTCAAGACTGCACCCAGCTTTGGTGGTAAGCCTCGCATTGTCAAATTGTGAGCTTTATGCAAATTGGCGTATTCTTTAACGACTTAGCCCAACCAAATTTGGTAGTCAGTTTGGGTCTTAATGACATTCAATCTATATTGTCGATTCGAGGATTAAAAAGGCTTGGTACCAGCCGGAAGGCGCCAAAGAAAAAGGCAAAGCTACGCTCCACTACGGTAGGTTACGGTGCTTACGTTCTGTTAAAAGGCCGGGCAAGGCACGAAATCGGTGTTTCCTTTAGGACCGCATTTATTCACTAATAGAAATAAAGTAAGAGCCTTCCCAGGACTTTTTTGCTATTTTTAGATGTTCGAACTTATACTTTTTATACAAAAGATTCAAAAAAATTGGTTTTATACCATTTTCAATCAAAATTAGTATTCCTTACAGGTTTTTAGATAGCTTTCCACTTTCCATCTTAAATTGTACTAAAAATACCATTAAAATACTTATATCACGTTGTTAGGGATTTCTGGATATAATAACCCCGGAAAATGCGAAAGTACCCGTTTTTTTAGAAAAGCGGCGACGATCCTCGTGAGGTGAAAGAGAAGGAGAAGCAGTATGTGCAGATCGTAAGTTTCAAATATTTTGTTATTGATCGAAAATATTTGGTCCATTAATGCACCGACACGTTCTTGTTTCAGAAAGGCCTAAAACCGCCCGAACAGCACAAGGAGACGTCACAGCGCAGCCGACGCGGCTCCAAGGGAAATGTGGGAAAAAAAAAAAAAAAAAAAAAAAAAAAAAAAAAAAAAAAAAAAAAAAAAAAAAAAAGTTTTTGAGCTCAAAACTGAATATTTAATTAATTTAATATTTAATGACTTTTATTAAACTGAGTAGTTATCCTGAAAAAAAGGTAAAATATTTAAGAAGCTAAGAGAATTCCGTGTTTCAAAAATTCTCGAAACTTGATTCGCGTTCTAGAAGCAGAAATCGGTCGACGATAAAAAGGAAGCGATGATGGCCGAATCGAGGGCAGCTTTTTTTCTCTATTTTTTTTACTTTCTATTTGTTTTTATTTTTTTTTATCGAAAATCGTTCTTTTTTTTGTAGAAACATCAAAACAAAACATTTTTTAGAAAGGCTCCGGGAAGACGATGAAAAAGAAGGGCAACAAGACGAAGGTCGGCTATTTTATTATCAAAAATGTGACCGGGCAGGCCAGCAGAGATTCTTTGCGGAAAATCGCGACAAAATCTTAAAAATAGAAAAATAGAATAGATAGAAATAGAATTCGTCAATTTTAGAAAAAATACTTTACTTCTCAAAAACAGCAAAAATACCTTTTAGCGCTCCACTGAGGAAAAGAAGAAAGAAAAGGAGCCGAACAAGTCGGGCAAGGAGGACGTGGTAGTACTAGTTTTGCCTCGTTTTTCAATTAAAGCAAATCTTTGTTTAATTTGATCTGAACAACGAAAACCTGTAATTCATCTTTTTTTTAGAAAAAGGACAACAAGGAAGCGAAGGAGAACAAGGAGAACAAAGACAGCAAAGACGCCAGGGAAGCCAAAGAACCCAAGGAAAATAAGGAGAACAAGGACGCCAAGGAAAATAAGGAAGCCAAGGACAATAAGGAATCTGGTCGTGATGGCGTATGTTTTTCTTTGTATTAAAAAAATTAAGCGACCAGAATTTTACACAGTTTTATCTGGTTTTTAAGTTGACAAAATTATTTTTTAGCAATACGTCCCGCTCGCCTCTACAGTCACCAAGTCGCCGAGCGGCACCGCAACTTCTGTAAGTTTTGGTCCTTTAGGTTTTACTATTTTTTCCTTTCCCGGTTAACCTAGTACGTTTTTTAGTACGTCTTAACTATATTTAAAGTGTGAACTTTCGAAAAAAATTTGAAATGTTTTTGAAAAGGTCAAAAATTGGTCGTTTCGGCTCAAAAAAATAGATTTTTCGACTAAAAATAAAATTTTTCTGTCTAATAATGTTCTAATAAAAAGTTTTCATGCTGAAGCATAGTTAAAAACAATATACAAACGTATTCACTATTGATAAAAAACCCGGATTGCGCCGAAAAAATTTTGGTTCTAGGTAAATCTAGATAACTACCGTTTTTTTGCAGCAACGCGAAAAGAAAAAGGCCGCCGCCGCCCGCGGTGGTCAGGTAGTAAAGCTCCTTCCCTGATCAATACATTCTATTTACAGTACGCCAAGCTGGACATCCCCGCGAACAGCCCGTTGGTACGTTAGTTTCCTAATCACAGAACGATACCCCGCGCGAAATTTCGCGAAAATCTCATTTTTCCAGCTCAACGTCAGCCTCACGCAAGATTCCCTGGAAAAAGCGGTGGTAAATTTTTGACTACAGTTGCTTATAAAGTTTCTATGAATAATTTAAAAATAGAATTAATTTAGATAGCCAGATTAAATTTAAAAATAGAAATTAAGCCCTAAACCCGAAGTTTAGTCGCCCGGCGCCGAGGGCCACGAGAATATCCCGCGAAAGTCGCGCGACAAATCGATGGAGATGACGGTTTTTGAATGTGTAAGTTTTTAATAGACGCTTTAGTTCTAAAAATCACTTTCTAGGTGGACGCCCCGATGAACCCCGCGGTGGCGCAGGAGCGGGCGTACGAGATGAAGTGGAAGGACGGGAAAAAGGAGTAGCCCCGGGTATATAAGCGCAATTAACTTCTGCTAGCCTGCCCTCTCCTCTTCCTCAACAATCTCTGCTAGCCTGCCCTCCCCTCTTCCTCAACAATCTCTGCTAGCCTGCCCTCTCCTCTTCCTCAACAATCTCTGCTAGCCTGCCCTCTCCTCTTCCTCAACAATCTCTGCTAGCCTGCCCATTTCAGCACCCGTCTCTCCCCTTCAATATTCAACGTTAGCTTGCGCCCGTCGCCACACGAATTTTATTTGTCTAAAACGTATGTTACCCTTTTTCATCACTAAAAAAGGCTAGAATTTAGTGAAATAAACTACCATTTTCAGGGTGCATATTTCAACACGGTTCTTCAACGATATCTTCCCGGATCGCGCCTTCTAAAGAGAAAAAGCGCCCGATTCGCCTGTCGTCAACCCTCGATTAAGCCTTCACTGCTATTACATTTGTGTTTATGTACACCTGAATAAAGTTGTGCGTTATTAAAATCGATACTTCTCGCTGAAAACGATTACGCGACCGAACGACTGAAACAAAACACGGCTGAAAAATATTTATTCGTGCACACAGTACCACAAAATCAACAGAAACAGCAACAACGACAGGGACAACGAACAATCGGCTAGTAGCTACAAAACGCGAAAACGAGAAATTATCTAAAATCTACTTCTACAACAATGCTATTCCTTTTTCATCGCTTGCTTCAGATGCTCCAGTTCTTCGGGCGAAAGATAGGCGCGCGCTTTTTCGAGGATCGCGGAACTGGAAAAAAAAAACATATTTAAAGGAAATTTTTTACTCAGACTAGGGCTTTAAAAAAGTGACTACTCTATTTAATTACGTGCGAAAGTACCCAAAAGACAAACGGTTACCTTTTCGAGGTCCGCCGCTTGGAAAACTGGCTCAACCCTCCGGCAGCGTCTTTTTCCAATTGGGCGGCAACATCGCTGCGCAGCTGCGGCTCCTGAGCAGGAGCTTTATGCTCGGATTTCTTGATAATCCGCTCCCAGACTTTTTCTTCCTTTTGCGTCTGCTCCTTTGCCTTCCATTTTTGGCGCTGGGATCCCTAGAAATAGTTTTGAGCGTTAAAACCTGCTAAAGAACCTCTTTTCCCTCGTGGGCGTATCGGCTGACCAGATTCTCGACACCTTCTTGGATTATCTAAAAAACCACGTTGGTACTCCGGAACACAACGGCAAGCATACCGGATCCAGCTGCCGCGTTGCCGCGCGTATCACCTCCTCGTCGGGCAACATATCCGGGAAACGCAACGAAAACCACAGATACGTGTCCATGATTTCGAAGAGCTAAAAGGGAGGGTTCTCAGAATACCTTTTTGTCCTCCTTACATTTTCCAAATGCTCCAATTCCGCGAGTGTATTCGGGACTGCCGGTGGCCACTCGGTCTGATCGAGCACGGTGTTCAGCAACCAGTCGGCGGTCAAGGGCTGGCCGGACGAGAACCGTCTGGCCATCTTGACGATCGTCGTCTGATTGAGCTTCGAGTCCATTGACAACGGGCAAACGCAGAACGTGTATCGGACCTAAAAAACGACAAAATTGACAAGGTACACCAGCTCGAACCTTCAACGGCAAAATGATGTAGTCGATCAGCAGGGCGAGCTCGCGCATTTGCTCCACGGTACATATGAAGAAATGGTCAGTTACGCCTGAAAAAACAGCATAGAAAAATTACCGAATACTTACTGCAAACGGACACGAATAGATCGAGTAGTTTCACAAAGGAGGCTTGCGGCAAATGGAAGGAGAACGTCTCGAGCTGCTCGTAAGTCGGCGAAATGCCGACAGCATCGATGGGTGGAACCTTAAAAAGCAGTTAAAAATTACAATAAGACTTTTGTTTTACTTTTCCTTTAGTTTTCTCCCGAATCTTTTTGTATTTTTTGTCATTTTGTATTGTAAAAATATTATTGAGAACTTTCTAGCAATCAAAAATAAACCTATAAAAATGCACTCTATTATTAACAGGCGAAAAATAAAAGATTAGCCCCCCGTTAAAAGAGAAGACCATAAAAAGTTACCGTCGTTTCCAACAGCTCTCGAAGCGTGCCAATATCTTCGGGTCGAAACGTGGTGGCGACACCATCGGCATAATGGGTTCCATACCTAAAAAACCCTAATTTTTTGAAATTTCAGGCCAACTACCGTCCAGCCCTTCCGGCAATTTGCAGAGCCTGATAATTCGGGATCAACTCCCCCATCCGGGTGAGCGCCGCAAAAATGACGCGCTTGATGTTCAGATTTAGACCCATGCCAATCGCGTCGGTGGAGACCTAAAATATTTTTTCATAAAGAAAAAAAACCATACCAAAACGTCACAATCATCGTTGGGGTCGTTAAAGCGCGCCGCTTGGGCCAGCTTCGTGCCGGGCGGCAAATCGCCGTAGATGATGGCAGGCTAAAAATTGTCCGTAACAACACGCCGCCCACATGCACCTTTATCCCCTTCTTCTCCAAGAGGTTGACAAAGCTGAATACTTGGCGCTTCGAGAAACACACGATCGCGTCGCCAGGTTGCACCTAAAAGGAAAAGATTTTTGTTTTAATCATTAATATTAATGTTAATATCAATTGTTTATATCATTTGAAAAATTAGACATTAGGAAAAATTTCGTCCCCCGATAATGTAAAAGAACCCAAATATTTAATGTCTTAAAACATACCCGATCGACAGTTTGCACGGCCTCGCGGGCGATTTGCAAGCCCGACATGCGCTTGTATTCGTGGACCTAAAAAAGTTAATTTTTCGAAGCTTTTTTCTTACCTCCACAGTTTCGCCCATCGGTTCGAGTAGTCGGCGTACCATTTCGACGGCCGCTGGCTCGCCGCAGAGGTGGACCTGAAAATTAAAAATGTTGTCTTCAAAATAAAGTCTTAACCTCATCAGCAGCCACCCCAAGTAGCGCTCGCGTCCAGGCCCAGCCTCTTTGCTCGTCGCGCAACATTTGAATCTCATCAATTACTGCTACCTAAAATGGGATTTTTGGGTTTTTTTTTAACTTTCGAAGGGTCCCGAATTTTTCCTAGACATCTCTAAAGCTTAGTAATGTCAAGAAAGGGATTTTACAGGCTTTTGAATACACCCCACCCGAAAAAAACTATTTATAGAAACAAGAAAACGCCTAAAAACCAAATCGCGTTTTTGTATTTTTTAAGCTAAAGGTTCGTATTTTTCTTTGTGTTCAGGGAAAGCAAACAGTTTTTTGGAGAAAGTAGCTTTATTTCTACCAGCGAAAATTGGGTCGTACGTAAAACAAAAAAATCTTGACCCCCCGATAATGCCAAAGTACCGTGTTTTAGAAGCAAAAAAAAACCCCGACCTCGACCCTCATTGTGGTAGCCAGCATTTCAACAGTCGATGAGATATGGGCAGAAGGGTGCTGGTTGTCGATCGCAAATCTAGAGCGCAATAATGCCAAGCAAATAAAAAGACGAAAAAGTAATAAATATAAATAAATACGATTGTTATATAGCAATAACATTAATAACAATTAAGATACCTTCGCTCTTCTCCGGTCACCATATCGCATTTCACCCCCGCGTCGTTTGTCTTCTGAAACACCTCGGCGGCCAGTAGCTTCAGCGGACCGCAATAAATCCCGGATTTTGCCTCGCGAAATCTAAAGCTTATTCGTTTTGCACGCACCTTGCTTTCTCGCACCTCTTCAAAGCGTTGTACGTCTTGCCCGAGTTGGTGGGCCCGGCGTGGAAGATGATTTTCCGTTGGATCGTTCGGGCATCGGGGTACCTAAATTGCTATTCAGAAAATTTCCATGTCGCTTCAGTTAGCCGGATAGTCAGCCGCATTTTCAAACTAGAAAAATGGTCTTTGGACCACAGTGTTTCTAAACCGTTATTTACCGTTTCTAGAATACAACAAAAACATAGATTTTTTGACAAAAAATGACCCTTTTGACCCAAATTTCCTTTTTGAAAATTTTTGATCGTTTTTCCAGTTTTTCTAGTTAAGGCATAGTTTTATTTTACGAAAAACACTATTAAAATACTTCCTATTACGTTGCTAGATGTTCATAGACCCAGAAAAACTTTTGGCCCACCCCCGATAATGTGAAAGAACCCTGAAAACTATCCGAGCAGTATTTTTAGAGTGAGATCGCGCCTTTTTTCAAACCCTGCTGGCCAGCCAACTTCCAAAGCTTCAAAAACCACACCAATTATGCGGCTGGGTAAGGTCGGAGATCATCTTCAGCTCGTTCATCGCCTCGATGTGCGGGAACACCTTTTTCGCGTGCGCCAAGAAGAACTGATAGAGGTTGTCGACGTCATGGCCATCTTTGATGATGTCCTAAAACCACCATTCTAGCCTTTTTCTGTCTATTCTCACATGAAGCGTGACGAGAAGTGCCGGCTCCAACACGGCGTCCTTTTGCAGGCAAAAATCCTTGAACGAGCGGTACGCCTAAAAACAGATAGTTGATCTTGATTTTTGAGGCTCACCTGCATAAACAATTTGTCTCCCAGACCATGTTCGAGGGCCAATTCGCGAATCATTGGCCGTCTCGAGAATTCGTCCAAACATAATGCCACCTCTATCTGAAACTGCTTAAAATAAAAAAGTGAAAAAGGTATCACCGAGTCGAGCCCAGTGCTATAATCTGGTTCCCGCTTCCCGTCGATCCGCGGCGGCTTGACGGGCCTTGGCTGAACGAGGTCATCTAAATCACATTTTTTATTCTTTTTAAAAATTTTGATACCAATATCATATCCTCCGCGATCTGCTGGCACCCCGGGAATTCGGCGTCTTGCCGGTCCTGGCGGTAGAGGGCGTTTCATCGCTGAAAAATACATTACAATTAGCTTAAATCCCAAATTACACCAACCTTCGCTAACTGTTGAGGTAGAAATCGACGGTCTGCCATGGTAGACACAAGCTGGAAGTGCTGAAGTGGCCGGCCGAGCTATCCGGGTGATCAGCGCTAATTTTGGGCGATACATGAAGCGCCTAAAGTTGATTTGAAACTATTTTCATGTACTAAAAATAAAAAAAACACTGAAAAAGCTTAACAATCGCCCTACAAGCGCTCAAAAAGGCCAGTTCTGACTTTTCAACGATTAGCACTTCTAAGATAAATACTTATTTATGAAAATAGAGCATAAAAACTTATCATTTTCAAGCTTTTAGCTGACTTTTTACCAATTTCCGACAAAAAAATATTTTTCATCACCGCCGGTCCGTGGCCGTACTATGTACGCCTGATAAGCGCGCGCCATTCGCAGTCGATTTTGCACTAGCAAAAATTCACCGTCGAAAAATCATTTTAACTTTTAAAATTAAAGTGATTTTCTATTTCTACTATTCCGCATTCTGGCCCATTTTCTGAGACGCATTTTCCATTCCGCAGCCACGGCGGTGGCGGCTGTGAAAGGCCCGACGGGCTCGATAAGGTTGGGAAGAACATAACTGCCGTTTTCTCCTGATGGTTTTTGATACTTTTTGCAGAAATTTGACTTTTTTATCGAGATTTTAGGATGGTACACGCAGCAGCTTCATCCTTCTCTTCAAAAGAATCTTTTATTCCGGAGGGTGTGACCGGCATGACGGAGCTGGATCGCAGCAAGTTTAAGTAAGTTTTTTCACATCGGCACTTTTCATTAATTTCCTTTTCCAGCAAAGACGTCTGCCTCCCGTTCATCCGGGTTGGCCCGGCGATCCTTGGCAAAATTAACCGCACGCCGACGTGGGATTTGCTGCGGAAATATGGTCTGCGGAAACTCGGAAATTACATGGTGCGTGTCTTTAGCGTGGGTTTGATTTTGAGATCACAGATGGTGATGCCCGATCCAGACGACAAGGAACAGCGCTGTATAATGTTCAACCCGTCTATCATGGGCGAGGAAGAGCGGAAGCTGATCCTCGACGCACTGAAGAAACACACTGAGGATGAGCTGAAGTTTGAGTACGTTTTTCTTGACGCTTTTTTGGAAATGCCTTGCTTTCTCCGGGGTCCTACTTGGAATGTAAAATCGGATGCTTTTAATTGGTACTTGTGCAATACCGGGTGGGGGTATCGGTTCTTTATATAAGTCTAGAAATGTCTAATGACTTAATAGGGAGTATTATAATAGTGTTGTTCGTAAAAAGGAACTGTATTTCCACTAGAAAACCCTCTAGAAACTTTTGAAAGCTTTGTAAAACTCGACATTTTGGCCGAAAATGCCCTTTTATGGCTGAAAAATCGATATTTTTGACATTTTTAATAGTTTCGTAAAATTTTTACGTTGGGGAATAATAAAAAACCATTTAAAACCCTAAACCCTAAGGAAAATATTTGGTTCTCCCGCGATATCGCGAGAGAGCCGGAAACCTAAATCAAGAAAGCTTTAGAGAACGCCAGACGACCGTAACATATGAAGATCTTGATACACGAGCGCTCTTCCAGGCCGTGCTGCCCGGTGGAGTCAATTTCAGGTTCTACAAAGGATTTTTTCTTAAACACGACTTTTTAGCGGCTTCACCCACACGGGCCCCGTGATCCACTGCAACATTCGCGACGAGCTGATGCCCTATCGATTCGTGATTGGCCAGATTTTGCTGGATAAAGTGAGATCGTGCAAGTGGGTTTTTGAACAGTTTTAATAGGATAAAAAGCGTGTTTTGTATTTTTTGAAATTTTAAATCTACTTTTACAGGACGGTCGTCAACAAAATCGATTGTATCAAGTCGGAGTACCGGAATTTCGAGCTCGAACTCCTGGCCGGCGAGCCGAATTACATCGTCGACGTCATTGAGGAGAAAATGGTTTTCAGGCTCGATTTTAGCAAGGTAAGGCTTTCCCAAAACTCCTGATGAGTTTTTTTCAGGTTTTCTGGAACTCTCGACTCAGCAACGAGCACAAGCGGATTGTGAATCTTTTGGATGGCAGGAGTCTAGGTAGAATTTAGTCGCAATATCGGGGAATCAACCTTGTCTTAGGATCTGATTTTTTTTGCAGTTTTTCTACTTGAAATGTAGTTATTTTTTTGCTAAAAACTATTAAAAAACTTAATATTCAGTTACTAGACATTTCTTGTCTTATTCACTCCCCCCCCCCCCGATTATGCGAAAGAATTTAAAATTTTAGAAACATGTGATTTACGGATCTAAAAATATAATGTTTTATAAAGATGGTCAGAACGTTATTATATTATTTAATGAGATAGATTATTTAATGAGAAAAAAACAATTTAAATGCGCATTTTTAGTGTACGACGCATGCGCTGGCGTGGGCCCCTTCATCCTGCCGGCCGCCAAGAAGAAGAAGTGCCGCAAGGTTATTTTGAAAAACTCTTCAACTTATATTGATCTTTTAGCTGTTCGCCAACGACTTGAACCCGGACAGCACGGCCTATCTGATCGAGAACATTGACCTGAATAAAGTCAGTTAATTTTTAGAAGAAAATAACGTTTCTTTTCTAGATTGATCCGAATAACCTTGAAGTTTTCACCATGGACGCCGTTCAGTTTATACGCGAGATTGCCGCCGACGATATATTGAAGGTATTTTTGTTTTTTATTTCTGGATTTTTTGCATTCTAGGAAATCGAAAAATGCAAGGACCCGACGTGGACGCCTCCAAGCGGCGCGCACATCGTCATGAATCTGCCCGGCTATGCCGTCAACTTCCTGCCGGCGTTTCGGGTATATAAAACATTGGTTCTTTCGCATTATCGGGGGGCGAATGTTCGAACTTTTTTGTATAACGTAGAAAAATGTCCAGTAACTTAATAGGAAGTGTTTTAATAGTGTTTTTCGTAAAATATAACTATATTTCAACGAGAAAAACTATCTAAAAACCTTAAACAACGTTTGAAAAAATCAAAATATTGGTCAAAAATCGGCCATTTCTGGTAGAAAAGTCTTTTTATTTTACATCTTTTAATAACAATTAAATTTTCCACATTTAGCAAAAAAGTAGACACTAAGAAAAAAGCCCCCCCCCCGATAATGCAAAAAAAAAACCAAAAAAAGTTAAATACTTGAGCTTTTTCACGCCAAAAACGTCTCAGCTTCTTATCTAGAAAATCCAGCTTCGTTTCTACGAACACACGATTTTTTAGGGACTTCTTCACGGCCGTTTCTCCGAGGACGAATTGCCATTCCCGATTACGGTTTATTGTTATTTGTTTATCAAGGTGGGTCTGATTTCCTGTATAATTTAATTTTACTTTTTTTTAGGCCCTCGGCGAGCCGCATTCAACGTTCGTCGAGAAGGCTCGAGAAGTTGTACTGGAAAAATTGGGATGGGACAAAGCTGAGGTATCTGGGGGGTAGTTTAAGCATTAAAACAGCTTTTTCTGCAGATCTCCCACATTCACCACGTCCGCACCGTGTCCAACTTCAAGGAAATGTTTTGCGTTCAGGTATGTTTCTAAAATTGGCGGCTCTTTTGCATTATCGGTGGGGGGAACCGAAGTTTTTGTATAAGTCCAGAAATGTCTAGTAACCCGATGTCAGGTGTTATTAGTAAAAATAACTAATTTCAACTGGAAAAACTCTGAGGTTTTGAAAACGTCGAATTTTCTCTCGATAATGGCGATTTTTGGTCGAAAAGTCGATATTTTTTATGATTTTCAATAAAATTTGTTTAGTTTCTACGCTTCGGAATAGCAAAAAAACCATTTAGAGATACTTGAAAACATCGAAAATGGCCATGTTTGCTGGAAAATCGATACTTTTGAGGTTTTGATATTTTTAACAAAATTTGTGAAGCGTTCCGGAATAGTAAAAACCCGTTTAGAAACTCGGTTACTATTCATCTTTGAAAAATTAAATCCTAAGCAAAAAGTGGGTTCCCCCGTCAACACGAAAGAACCCATTTTTTCCAGGTAAAGCTCCCCGTCGATCTGCTCAAGGCCGAACCCAACGAATCCGTCGAGCCACCCACAAAACGCGGACGACTTGCCGACGACGCCGAAGACGATTGAAGTGGTTCCCGGGCATTTCTTCTGCCCTATTTATTGTTATTGTTATGTTTGTGTCGTTTGTGATTTGTTTTGCCTCCCCGTAGTACTGATCAGACTAATTGTTTTGTACCTTTTACTGTTACGTTGTGGGTTTCCGTGACCGCCACCATTTGTTTAATTTATTGATTGTGCTCACACTACCGGTTCGATTTCGGATAAATCTTTGGATTATGGAAGATACAACTATTGTAGAGGTTTCGGCCGGAAATATTTGAGCGTTAAAGGGGCTCCGAAATCTGGTCCACGGCCCCCTGCTGTGATTCCTGGCAAATAGCCAGATGCGACCGCAACGCGACCGCGCAGCATGGTCTTTTGCCCCGGTTTGGACGCGAAAACGCTTGAATTTAAAAATTCTGATGTGATTTTTGGAATCCTCACCAAATTTTGATCATTCTAGACTTTTAATTTATGAAAATTGCCTATAGAATCACCGAGATCAAGAGATTGGGTGCCTTACAACGCATTACGACAGGTAATCGCCGCGCACTCAAAATGTCGTTTTCGCCCCAAAAAGAATTCGGATTTTCTCAAATATTTTACGTTTTTTTCGCAATGAAATCACTTTTCTGGCACTTCTCGGCAGTAACCCTTTCGTTTTTTGACCAGTAGGTTCAATCCCCGCACGCACGAATTTTGACTTCTGAGCCCCTTTAAGGTCAAAGGAAAGCTTTATAATGAAGGAAAGATGCTATTTTATTTCGATAGCTCGATTTTAGGCCCCGTATTTGATGCTCCCCTCGCGAGGGCACTGTTTATTGCAGGCATGCGGTAGCAGGGCATCACTTCTACAAGTTGCGGTCAGTTTTTGAGCGTTTTAGATCACTTTTGATAGAGCTATCCCCGTCATTTTTCCAGATGTCGCTCAAAAAGTTATGGAACGGGTGGTCCTCCAGATGGAGCGAAGCATCAGGGAGAAATTGACGTGCTATAGCTCATTCGAAAGCGCAGATTTTTTGAGCACGATCTGCCGATTGGCTTTTCCTGGTTGTTTAATTCTGAAATTTTTATAGCTAGCCAAGTGTGCCATTTTGGACATTTTTCTAGCTAAAAGCTTTACTGTTTCAAAATGGCCATTTAGCAGTTTCGGAAAACAGATTCGGAAACAACGCAAAATGTGCCTGATTTCGACTCGAAACTCAATTCACACTAAAAACGTCTTCTTGCCAGATAGCTCATACAAAACCTTTTAGTTCAAACACCAACCGGCGAAAAAGCACTGGACCGAGCGGTTGCCCACAAGAATCGGCCTCCGTCGATGGTTTGCCGAGAAAACGGCGAACAGGTGAGGATTTTGCAATGTCCGCTCATAAGCTGTTTCGTAGGTACAACGAGGAGCGCGTCAAAAGTATAGGGCCGGACTTGGCGTGTCTGGAATGGCTGATGCATTGTGGGGCCAGTGAGGTGAGACTGTTATTTCCTTGTATGCTATAGGAAAAGGATATATAGAATGAAAGCTATAATAAAAAATAGAAAAGCTTTGTGCTGAAACAAATCGTCATTTTTCAGGTCCGAATGAGCTGCGGGACCAGCATCAAGAGCATAAGTGCAATGAACAAGTATTTGAAGCAGGCACTCGCTGGCGAAATTGAGGTTTGGTTTGAGTTTGAAAAATAAGATTGTTTGGCATTATCCGGAGGGAACAATATTTTTTGTAGAAATCTAGAAGTGCCTAGTAACTTAATAGGAAATATTTAAATGTTTTCAGCAGAATAAAACTATTTTTCAACTAGTAAACAATCTTTCGAAAAGTCGAAATTTTGGTAGAAAAATCTATATTTTTGTACTTTTTAATAACATTTTGTAAAGTTTTTACGTTTATGAATAGTAGAAAACAATTTAGAAACACTTCCGCTATTTATATTCACAGAAATTGGATGCGCGGAAACCCCCCGATAACGCCAAAGAACCAAAGAGAATAATCGTTTTAGTCCCCAGCCAAAATCGCGCCCGGCGATCTGGCGCACGAAGAAGCGTGGCCAAATGCTCCGCGCGTATATGTGCTACATGTTGATGCTTCGGATTCGGCGATAGCGAACCCGGGATTTGCTTACTTCCGGAATTTACGGCGCGTAGAGGTGCTAAAGGTAGGCCTTGCGAAGCTTAAAATTCTCTCTTTTCAGCTAAATTTCTGCGACTATTTTGGTGACGACGGGCTCCGAGAATTGGCGATGGGCAGGCCGAAGGAGACGTTGAGAAACTTGGTGCGTGTTTTTTTCCAGGGTTTTATCTTGCGGTTTCCAGGAAATCGTCCTCAATCCAAATATGACTGACGGAGCTATTTTCTGGTTGTCGCGACTCGTTGGGTTAAGGTGGGCAACGCTTTTGTTACTCTGATGGTTCTGGGCTGTTAGCGGGGGGGGGGTGGATTTGTGGCAAGGGGTGAAAGCCACTTTGTTTTTTCAGCTATATCTACGTGTTGATGATATATTATGGTTTTTTATAGTTTTTTTTTGTGGTTGTTGATTCCTAGAAAAATATATTAAATTTTTTTTTAAAGTTTCTCCCGCTAACAGCCCAGCTCGAATCTGATTCAGGCGTGCCCACTTCTATTTCCTGCCCTACGTCGCGAATCGGCCGGCGTTTTTGCGCCATTTACGAACGGCGCTACCGAAAGCACAGGTTTTTTTCGGAAATGTGGATATTAATTCCTGTTTAGGTAACATTTCCTGAGATTGAGTTTGTTGGGTACGGCTACGACGAGGCGAGGCGGCAAAATCAGATGTAGGTTTTTTTGGAAGCGCCAAAAACGTGAGTTTTTCAGGTGATTCACCACCCTGCACATCGCCGTCCGAGAGGATGTATCGAGATTCCCGTTTTTCTTCTAGCTAGAATTGCTATTGTTTTTGCCCGTTTTCTCATGTTTTGTTGTCTCGATTAGGCCAGAATAAATTCTAACCAATGTCCCCATGCAGGAAAAAAGGTAGTTTCTTCAGAATCTTTGTTTGCTGCACGTGAGATGGTGGTACTGGACTGTTAGCGGGGGGACTAATTTTTCCGAATAATCCTGTACGGTCCTAAAACAAAACGGAAAACGAAAAATTAGTTCCTCCCCCCGCTATCAGGCCAGTACCGGGATCGTGTCGGGTGTGATGCGTTGAAGCGGATATCAAGCGGATTCAATTTATTCACATTCAGTACACATAAATACAGACACGATGAGCACAAGTAATTTTTTAGAAAGAAACACAGTTCAAGAATTATGGATTTTTATGGGGGAAATGGATTAAATAGGGCTGGGAAGGCGGGCGGGTAGAGGCAAGAGGTGCTGTCGTCGTCGTCGCGGGGCTTGTGGCGGCTTGGCGGCTTCTTCTTCGGCTTAGCCACCTTTCGGGCGACGCTGTCGAGTCGAGACGCCGGCCTGGAAAGTGGTTGTTATGAAGGCCTGTTTTAGGCTTGAAAATTCTACGATTTCTACGAGGAAAACATGGCTGAAGTTAACCGTACGTTCACCGAGGTCGTCGACTTGGCGGGGCGCTTCTTCTTGGTGGGGCGCAGCGAGACCGAGTGCTCAGGGACTTCCTGCAAAATTGTTGGAAAGGTTAGTTGTTATTTGCGAGCAGATTTTCCGCTGAATGCGAATTTACTTCTCAAAATAGCAAAACTAGTCGGATTTACAAAGATTTTCGGATTTACCGAAAAATTCTACAAAAGAATGGCTATTTCCCAAATTGCGTTTCCGATTTCTATCCCACAAAAAGCCTGTTTTATTCAGAAATCTTCGTCGAATATGAATTTACTTTTTAGAATCGCAAAACAAGTCGTTCTAAAACGTTAAAAAACTAAAAACTAGAACTTGTGAAACTTGAGTCTGCTCCCCGGTCGAAAACTTTAGATGCTGATCACTTTCTGCATGCAGCTCGGCGCCGAGCCACCCGTCTTGACGAGCCGGGAGAACTCCATGTATTTGGTGAGGCGCTTGAACGACTTCCGGTCCTGCGGCGCCTCGGCCCAGCACTTGTCCAGCACCTTGTGCATGTACTTGGGGCACTAAACAGGGGGTTTTTAGAGGTTGTCCGATGTCCAACACTACCTCTTTCGGCACGGGCATACGGCCCTTTGTCTCGAGGATGAGCTTCTTGACCTCCTTGTTGGTCATGCCGGGGTACGGGTCGCCGCCGTTCGTGTACACCTCGCAGATCATGACGCCAAAAGCCCACACGTCGCTCTTCACCGAGAACTTGTAGTGCTTCAGCACCTGCAAAACGGGCCGCGGTGTGCGGATTTTGCGCGTTTGGCTAGGAAGTAGATTTTGATAACTTTTCTGATAAGGTTTGGTTGTAGTTTAAGTAGAAAACGACTTATGACCATTGGAAAATGTTAAAAATTTGAAATTGTGCTGGCCAAACAGATATTTCTTCGATTTTCGTGATGAAAAATTGTCGTTTCAGTATTTTTGATGAAATGTAGCCAAATTTCAAGCGGAAAGCTATTTATAAAACGTAGAAAAAGCTTAAAAATTGAAATTTTGTCGAAAGAGCTATTTTTGGTTTTAGTGTTTTTGATGAAATGTAGCTATATTGCAAGCGGAGAGCTATTTATAAAACGCAGAAAATGCGTAAAATTTGAAATTTTGTCGAAAAATCTCTTTTTTAAGATTTCCTGTCAACTAGTGGTTTTTTTATTCTTGATAAAACAAATAGCTATATTTAATTTATAAAAGAAACTATTTAGGTAACTTGGAAAAGGTTTAAATCTAAACTGTTTGTCGAAAAAAACTTTTTTTCTGAATTTTTTAAAAGTAAAACCGTTAGTTTTTTACATTTTGGATCAAGAAAAAAACCATTTAGGGGGCCGAAGCTGGTGCTCACCTCCGGGGCGAGCCACTTGGTGGGCAACGGGACCGGCTCGAGCTTGGTGGACTTGTTCTTGAGCACCTTCTCCTCCATCGACAGCCCAAAGTCGCTGATCTTGACCGACCCGTCGACGGCCATCAGGCAATTCCGGGCGGCAATGTCCCGGTGCACCTAAATGTTTCGTTTATTTTTATTTATATTTTGTGATTTTATTTTTAGGCTCTGAACAACTTTAGGCTGATGCTCAAGCCGTTCAACGCCAAGCTCCCCACGATGCCGGCTTCTTCGAGGTGTGCGAGTCCGGCGGCAGCTCCGAGCAGCATGCTGAGCTTGGCCTCGTCGGTGACGTCCTTCGTCTTCTTGAGGTACTGCAAAAATGAAGTGCGTGGATTCAATTACGCTAGGTAAATCGTACCGATTTTAGGGAGCCCTTGGGCATGAACTCGAGCACGATGTACAGCGGGTTCTTCAGCGTGCAGATGCCGAAGATCTGCGTGATGTTCTTGTGCGGGCTGAAAAATGGCGGCGTTTTTGGGGGGGTACTGGACTGTTAGCGGGGGGAACCAAAATTTCTCTGCGCTTTTCTACGGCCCTATCACAAAAATAAACCATTTTTATAGCATCTGTTGAGATATAAAAACAAATTTAAAATTTCAACAGTTCGAAAATTTTTGGATTTTTTGGTAAAAAATGTTTCAAAAATGACCAAAAAAGCAAAAATTTTCGAATTTCCAAATTCTTCAAACTTAAATTTTCACATTTTAAACTTTCTAAAATTTTACAAGTTTAAAAATTGACAATAAAATTCAAAACCCCAAACCGCACCGAATCTTCATCATGATGTAGGCTTCGAGGAGGAACTTCTGCTTCTTCACCGGGTCCGACGACAGCAGATCTTTCAGCGACTTGACGGCCACGGTGATCGGCTCCTTCTCCTGGAATTGAGCATGAGCTTCAGGGGGCCTTGAAACTCCACGCACCCCCGTGTAGATGCCCTTGTAGACGGCGCCGAACTCGCCGGCGCCGACCTCCTCCTTCAGCGTCACCTGCTCGTGGGCGATGAGCTCGTTCTGGAAAAATAATTTTTTAGTTTACGATCCAGAATTCCGCAATAATCCCCGTTAGCCTGCCCCCTCACCTGTCGCAGCGACGACTTGCGCATGATGAACGCCTCGGCGGTGTCCTTGTTGGGCAGCGGCTCGCCGGTGCTGGCAAAGTGGGAGACGAGCTGGTCTGAAAGTACAAAAAACTAGGGTAAATTAAGGCGGTGAACGTACTGATGTTGTCGAATCCCTTGGTGCCGAGGAAGAACTGTTTGTTGGGGCCGATCATGATCGTGAAGTAGCCGATCTCGGAGGGGCCATGGAGCGCGATGCACAGCAGCTGCAAACAAAGTTTTTTAAGAGGTTCAGCTGAATTAGAAGTCGGTAAATTTTTACAAATTAAAAAAATTTAAATTTGAATTAAATCAAAACAAAAAATCAAATATTCCCCAGGGTGTTGTTCTAGTTAGCAAAAATAAATTTTCAAGTCATTTTTAGTAAAAATCGGCTAAATTTAAGGTCGAAAGGCGTTTTGAAAATATAGAAAAGTCGAAATTTTGATGGTTTCGGGTCGAAAAAATACATTTTTTTGTAAAAAAAATTAGATTTAATTAAACTAAATTAGGGAATAGGAAAAAAGTAAAATTATGTTTGGGAGAAGTTCGGATATTTTGTTCTCGAAAGATGTTTTTTTGTAGTTCTGTATGAAATTTCTAGGTTTTTACATTTTCGAGGCCTTTTTTATTTTTCTCTACAAGTAATAGAAAATATTTTAAGTCACCCATGAAAAAATTATTATTTTTGAAAGTGGGAAACGGATTAGAAAACGTGGAAGAGCCGAGAAAATTGTGGTGAAAAAATCTTTTCGGCCTTGGGGTTTTAGTCGAAACATCATTTTTTGCAGTTCGGAATGGAAATGTCGAAGTTTTTACGTTTTTGCTATTAAAACAAAACTTCTAACTATACCTCGATGATGCGTCCCTTGTTGTCGACCTCGCGGTAGATCTTGCACAGGAGGTACTCGCCGATCTTGGCGAGACGCTCGCGGACGTACGACGGCTCGGCGTAGCCGTGGTAGTAGAGGGCCCCCGCCACCGACGCGTCTGGCTCTTGCACCCTGAAAAAAATAGGAGTTGAGGCAGGCTAGCAGAGATTATTGAGGATGCGGCCGCCACACCCACAGAAAGTTGTAGGCCTTCTGGAGCTTCTCGCGGAAGGCGGCGTTCTTCTCGAGCTCCTGCTGGTCGGGACGGCGTTGCTCATCCTTGTCTTTGATCTTCGGGGCGGTGCCCTAGCGAGAGAATTAGAGAGAGAGAGAGCGAGGGAGCGAGAGCGAGAGAGTGAGAGAGAGCTGCTGACCTTCTTGCGGACGTGGCGGTCCGACTTTTCGGCGGACTCCTTGTCCTTGGTGGCCCTGCCGGACTTTTCTTCGCAGGCCGCGTCTGGGTCGGCCTGCTTGCTCTTCTTCTTCGACTTCTTTTTCTTGGGCTTCTTCTGCTTGCCGCTCTTCTCCTGGAAAAATAGCTATTGGTGTGCCGCATTACGCCATCTGTACCAGCAATTTTTGCAGATTTACAAAATTGCAATTTTAGATAATTTTTGAAACATTTTTGACCAACAGCTGATTTTTTTGAAAATATTTTATTATTTATTTTTCTATTATTTTTCTATTTCTATTTTCTTTTTTATAATTATCTTTTTTATATTTTCGCAATTTCTCTGCCCTCACCACATTATCGGCCGCCGGCTTCTCGGGCTTCGGCTTGTCCTTCTCGCCGTCGGGGGTCGAACGCCTTCGCCTCGTCGACCGCTCCGGCTTCTCGACCTCTTTCTTCTTCTTCTCCCTCACCGACTCGATCGGCGCTTCGATGGCCTTCTCGTCGTCCTTGCTGACCTCTTTGCTGACCTCCTTGCTGGCCTCCTTGGTGTTGTCGCGGCTGGCATCGCGGCTCTTCTTGGTGCGCCCGCGAGGAGGGCTGGGTGCTTCTTTCTGGAAAATCGGGGTGGAGCGAAAGAGAGAGAGAGAGAGAGAGAGAGCGAGAGAGCGAGCTCTGTACCTCTTTCTCCTTCTCCTGCGGCGGCTCGGGCGGCAAGTCCGCGGCCGTCGGGAGCTTCATTCCTTCGGGGAGTTGGAGGCCCTGAAAATCAGAATATCTTCGATTTCCCTCAGCAATCTCTGCTAGCCTGCCCTCAAAACCTGCCATAATTCCGCCCATTCCGGCCGGCTTGTCGGCCTTGCGCGGCACCGACGGCTGCACGTCTTCTTTCTCGGGCTCGGGCTCCAGCTGCGAGCTCTCCGTCGAGCTGTTGCACGTCTTCTCGAGCTCCCCATCTTTCTGGAAAAAGGGCGATAGATTAAGAGGGAGAGGGACAGAGAGAGAGAGAGAGAGAGAGAGAGAGAGCAAGAGATAGGAGAGAGACTGAGAAAATAAACCTTCGCTTCAGACATCTTCAAAAAAAAGGTAGAAGGAAGAAGCGGGAAACTTCGAACAACGAGCCAGGCTGTTTCGCATCTAAATATGAGCTCACAGAGTAAAATTTCGAACCATTTCCGGCAAAATCCTAGGTAAATTTTATTCAAAGGATAACAAGGAAATTTTGGGAAATTGTAAACTTCAGGAATTTTGGATTGGGCAAACAAGCAGAGATTGTTGAGGAAGAGGAGAGGGCAGGCTAGCAGAGATTGTTGAGGAAGAGGAGAGGGCAGGCTAGCAGATATTGTTGAGGAAGAGGAGAGGGCAGGCTAGCAGAGATTGTTGAAGAAGAGGAGAGGGCAGGCTAACAGAGATTGTTGAGGAAGAGGAGAGGGCAGGCTAGCAGAGATTGTTGAGGAAGAGGAGAGGGCAGGCTAGCAGAGATTGTTGAAGAAGGAGGAGAGGGCAGGCTAGCAGAGATTGTTGAGGAAGAGGAGAGGGCAGGCTAGCAGAGATTGTTGAGGAAGAGGAGAGGGCAGGCTAGCAGAGATTGTTGAGGAAGAGGAGAGGGCAGGCTAGCAGAGATTGTTGAAGAAGAGGAGAGGGCAGGCTAACAGAGATTGTTGAGGAAGAGGAGAGGGCAGGCTAGCAGAGATTGTTGAGGAAGAGGAGAGGGCAGGCTAGCAGAGATTGTTGAAGAAGAGGAGAGGGCAGGCTAACAGAGATTGTTGAGGAAGAGGAGAGGGCAGGCTAGCAGAGATTGTTGAGGAAGAGGAGAGGGCAGGCTAGCAGAGATTGTTGAGGAAGAGGAGAGGGCAGGCTAGCAGGTATTGTTCCCAGATCATCTCTGCTAGCCTGCCACTCGCATCTCGTCCCAAATGATCTCTGCAATCCTGACCTTTTCCACTCGTTTTTCAACGCCTTCTCCGGTCTATCGCCCAAAGGTCATAAGCCGGACATCCGGGTTGTCGAAAATGTTCATCGAACAAACCTAGGGCCTGTGGTTTCCGGTCTGGCAGTGGGCCCTAAGGGCCTTAAGAGCGCCATAAAGGCCCAGTTCTTAAAAGGGCTGCAGCAAAAAGTTCCCACGGCAGCCCGGGGGGCCTTTTGAATTATTCGTAACAAATCCCCCTTTCCTGGCCGCTAGGCCGTGGCATGTGATACAGTTGTCGACCCCATTCTTGTGGTTTTCCAAGGTAGCGGAAAAATTTTTTGGGGCAGTTTAAAAGTTTAAAATCTTAATTATTTAAGCTCGGTAGCAAATTCGGAAAACGAGGCGATGATCAGCATGGTCGGTTCTTTAGCTGCGCTAATTTTCAGCCCGATCCGTGTTGCGGGTTTGGGACTTCCCTAGTAAGCCTAAGCATAAACCAAAGCTTAAACCCAAGCCTAGACCTCATCCTAACCTAAGCCTAAGCTAAGCTTGAGCCTGAGCCTGCGCTTAAGCTAAGCCTAAGTCTAACTAAACCTAAGCTAACAATAAAGTTAGAGCCTAAGCCTAACCTAATCAAGCCTAAGCTTAAGTCCAAGCCCAAGCCGAAACCTAAGCCGCGCCTAAACTAAACCTAAGCTAGGTCTTAGCCTAACGTAAGCCTAAGCCGAAGCCTAAGTTGAAGCTATAGCTAAGCTCTAGCCTAACCCAAGACTAAGCCTGATCTCAGGCCTGTCTTACGTCGCAATTAAAAGCGAACCTAAGCTAAGCCTAAAAAGAAAAAACTTTCGCGCGCGAAGTAGCAAGGATTATCCTCTTTCTAGAGTATTTATTCACTATTTTTTCCGAAACACATTTAATTTCGCGTAGTACCTACCCGCGGGTGGCTTTTCAAAAATAACCAATTTTCATTGGCAAATCCCCCGCCAGCGGATTTTCTCAATTTTTTTCCATCCCTTTTCTCAAGACCTTTTTTCCAAATTTGGCAAATTTCTATGCCTTTCGGCACGCGCATTTCAGGGCCATTTCCGGACTGAAAAGCCCACTAAATATTTCAGGATCCTCGTTTCTAAATAGCCGCCCGGGTCCGTGGTTCGAGGGCATTGTTTGGGGGAAGTACACCTGATGTTTCCGGAGCCGGTGGTTTTTACCGTGCTTCCGGTTTCCGGCCTCATTTTGGAGCTGTGTTTTCAGACCCAAGCTAGTGGCTGTAGAAGTTCCAGAACATTTTTAAACGAAAAACCAGGTTTGAGTTAGTTTAGGTGTTTCGGAAAATTTCTGATATCTTCTGGTTGAAACACATTTTTTAACGTAAATCGATGGATTTCCCAGCATTTTTTAATTGATTTTCATTTTTCATTAATGCGTCACATCGTAATTGCATTTATTAGCAATAAAATATGGACCTCAAGAGCCGATTGCCGGGCGTCCGTACCGTTTCTTAGATTTTCTGGCTGAAACGCATTTTTTTAAGGAAATCGATCGACGGCCGGGCATTTTTAATTTATTTTGATTTTTCATTAATGCGTATGCGTGGAGGGTGAATTATCAAAGATTCCGACAATTTCTTACATTATCAGTTTGAAACACATTTTCTAAGCGTAACTTGATTTTTGAGCAATAAAACATGGGTATCCGGTCGAATTGTACGGGGTTCGGACAATTTTTTGCATTTTCTGATCGAAACACATTTTTTAAAAAGTAACTTGGATCGGTTGCCCCGCATTTTTAAGTCATTTTCATTTTTCCTTAATAAAACTCTAGTTCTATTCTCTAGTTTTTAATGAGCTCGTCCTCCGGCTCCCTGCTACGATATTCGAGCCCTTTTTGCCTCGCTCATTCCGAGCTTGGCCGCCAAATTGGATTTGCTCTTTATGGCGCGTGTTCACCGCTTTTTGAAAGGGGTGAACACAAAGGGGCGGTTTTTGGACCAATCACCCAAACCATAAAAACAATTCTTTAAAAGACATTTCTTGTCCGAGATTCTTTAAAAAGTTTGTAGCCTTAAGGCAAACTAGCAAAGGTTTTTTGCGAAATTGAGTGGAGAGGTAGGCTTGCAGAGATCCTATAGGAAATTTAGGAAAAGGTAGGCCAGCAGCAATCTTTGAGGAAATCTAGGCGGCGTGTTAGCAAGCTGGTTTCTGAGTAAGCCATTACACCATTTCAAAATGGCCGAAATATCACATATTTTCGAAACATATTTTTGCAAAATTGATGACGTTTTCTGGTCTTTTTCACAGGCCTTAAAACACTCAGATTTGTACTTTCTATTTTCCATCTAGATTTGATACCCAAGAATCCTTGTTTTTTTTGATGAAATCCCTTTGCGCGGGGTTGGGTGCTAGGTGGAAATGATCGGGCCGTAAATTCGGTACTCGCGGACTCGCTGCCCCCCTTGTTTATATGGTCCCCCCCCGACCGGAAATGGGTAATTAGAATTTTTCGTGCGCAATTGTCAGGCTCGATTCCAAGTAACGGCATTTAACACCTCAAAGCGATTGAAAATGCTCTCTTTCCAGACACCAGAAATTTCGGATTTAGGAAAAAACTGACGTTTCATCTTTTTTGATAGAGAGAAAATACACGGAAGTTTTGATTCAGAAGTGTTTCGGTCTCGCGTATTTAAAGGGAGATGGAAGGTCGAAATTCTGTACAAAAAATATGATTTAAGCAGGAAGTTAATAAAATAAAACGAGGGTTTCCCCAGTAAATGTCTAGCTGACTTTAAAAAAAATAATTTAATTGGTTTTAATGTCAAAAATGAATATTTGAAGGTAATAAGCCTTTCAGGTACTCTAAATAAAAACTTGCGGTAATTAGTTGCAAACGTCCATGTTTCCACAAATTATTGTTAATCGAAAATCGATTATAAAGATCTATTAAAAATTAAAAACTTGAAGAATTGTTATTCGAGCCGCGGAGCATTTCTTAGATTCTTTTTTCTTAGAAAAAAGTAGAAACATTTTTTGAAAAAATAGGACCGATTTTCCGATCTCGCCGAAAATGTGTTTCAAAAATGTTAAAGGCCTGGCTGAAGCTTGCTATATGAATAGCGTGACTGTTTAGATTTCACAAGCGGGGTTCGCACTTTTGTACCTGCTAGATTTTTATTATGCTACAAACTACGCCACGCTAGGTATACATTGCGTAATTGGTTGCATAGCGGAAAATAAAGATGCCGGTGACAGAGGGGGAGGGAGAGAGAGTGAGAGAGAGAGAGCGAGAGAGAGAGAGACTGACCGACAGACAGGGAGAGAAATCTGGATGAATAAAAAATCTGCACTTTCCGTCCCATTTCACGTTGACGGGGGCGGAACATGTGATTGCCGGATTTTTGATGAGCAGCTGCTGTCTGCCCACCGTAACCCACGGTAAAGTATAGCCTTCGAAAAGGCCACACTTCACAGAAAACATGTTTCGTTGATTCGGGGGGTTGGTGAAGATTTTCCTATCGTAATTTTTTCAGTCACGTTATGCATTATTTTCTTGAGTGGCTAGGGGTATAGCGTAGTTCCCGCTTAGAGTTACAGCTCCCCTCTTCTTACTCAACAATCTCTGCTAGCCTGCCCTCTCCTCTTCCTCAACAATCTCTGCTAGCCTGCCCTCTCCTCTTCCTCAACAATCTCTGTTAGTCTGCCCTCTCCTCTTCCTCAACAATCTCTGTTAGTCTGCCCTCTCCTCTTCCTCAACAATCTCTGCTAGCCTGCCCTCTCCTCTTCCTCAACAATCTCTGTTAGTCTGCCCTCTCCTCTTCCTCAACAATCTCTGCTAGCCTGCCCTCTCCTCTTCCTCAACAATCTCTGCTAGCCTGCCCTCTCCTCTTCCTCAACAATCTCTGTGAGTCTGCCCCTCTCCTCTTCCTCAACAATCTCTGCTAGCCTGCCCTCTCCTCTTCCTCAACAATCTCTGTTAGTCTGCCCTCTCCTCTTCCTCAACAATCTCTGCTAGCCTGCCCTCTCCTCTTCCTCAACAATCTCTGCTAGCCTGCCCTCTCCTCTTCCTCAACAATCTCTGCTAGCCTGCCCTCTCCTCTTCCTCAACAATCTCTGTTAGTCTGCCCTCTCCTCTTCCTCAACAATCTCTGCTAGCCTGCCCTCTCCTCTT